TTAGTAGAGACGGGGTTTCACCATGTTGACCAGGATGGTCTCGATCTCTTGACCTCGTGATCCACCCACCTCGGCCTCCCAAAGTGCTGGGATTACAGGCGTGAGCCACCACGCCCAGCAGCTGCAGTTCTTTATTTATGTTATTTTTTTAAGACAGAGTCTCACCCTGTTGCCCAGGCTGGAGTGCCCTGGCGCGATCTTGGATCACCACAACCTCTGAGATTTTCCTGTCCCAGCCACCCAAGTAGCTGGGATTACAGGTGCCCACCACCACATCTGGCTAATTTTTTTGTATCTTTAGTAGAGATGGGGTTTCACCATGTTGGCCAGGCTGGTCTCGAACTCTTGACCACGTAATCCACCCGGCGTCCCAAAATGCTGGGATTACAGGCCTGAGCCACCATGCCCGGCCTACCTGCAGTTCTTAATAAATCAGATTGGGTCAATAATTTACTTTTACAATACTACTTTTTCTCTGTATGTACTTATTTGTCACTTTTTAATTTTTAGGGAGTTGCATTTCAACTGTAATATCTTTTTATTGAACTATGTGTGGAAAAAAAAGTTGAAGTCAAAAGATACTGGGTTGGTGAAAAAATAAATAAATTAAAAAAAAAAGAAAAATAAAAGAACTATGTGAAATGAGCTCTGTATTCAGTCATTAGTTGTGTTTCTCTCTTCCAAGTACTAACCAGGCTCAACCGTGCTTCTGAGATCAAACAAGATTAGGAGTGCTCAGGGTGGTTTGACTGTAGAGCTAGTTGCTTTGCTTACAGCCTTAAGTATACCTTATCATTAATAACTTTGGTAAAACCTCATTTGAAAATTAAGACTAAGCCTGAGTGACATGGCAAAATCCCATTGCTACAAAAAATCAGCTGAGCATGGTGTTGTGTGCCTGTGGTCCCAGCTCTACTCAGGAGGCTAAGGTGGGAGGATCGCTTGAGCTCAGGAGGTTGAGGCTGCAGTGAGTCAAGATTGTGCCACTGCATTCCAGCCTGGGTGACAGAGTGAGACCCTGTCTCAAAAAAAAAAAGAAGAATAAATTTAGTTAGTGAGAAAACTTATGTATTACAGCGTCTTGACTTAAAAGAAAAACAAACCCTTCATTTTCTAAGTTTTTCATAAGATTATGAAAGTCTTAGAAATTTGGGTTATTTTGGCTCACTAGCTGTATGTGTAGAGTGAAAACAGTATTTCTACATTTGGTCAGTTATATAATGTTACTATACCTTTGATTCATCTGGAATTTATTTTGGCATGCAGTGTGAAGCAAGCATCAGATTTTACTTTTTTCTCCGTGACTACCCAGTTGTCTCATGACTTCACAGATTTTAAAAAGCAGCTTTATTGTATACCAAATGTTCATATTTTGGGTATTTTTAGGGATTTCTACTTTGTTCCATTAATCTGTTTTTGTACCAGTACAATACCCCTTTCAGTGTTGTGTCTTCTAATATTTTAATATTTAATAGGCTAGTCTACATTTTCTTCAGAGGTTTTTTCTTTTTTTCTGCTTTTGCTTAATTGTAATTTTTTCTTTTGTTTTCCTCTCTCTATCCTTTTCTCTTTCTCTTTTCCCTCCCTCCCCTCTCCCCTTCCCCCCTCCCTCCCTCCTTTCCTTCTTTCCTCTCTCTTTCTTCTCTTTCTTTCTCCCTTTCCCTCCCTCCCTCCCTCC